ATTGAAATATTGTTGAAATTCTTTCAATTAAGAATGAATTATATAATAAAATTGTTGTTTTTAACTTAAATTGAACATATTTATGGTTTAATTTTGATTTGGAACAAATTTGAGTGATTGAAACTGAGAAATGTGAAACTTGGATTTCGAAAATGGCGAACTGATGAAAATCTGCAAAACTCGCTCAAGCGAAAAATATGTCGCTTGAGCGAGGATACCTGGAAATTTTGGGATTCTCGGGTTCTTTATCGCTCAAGCGATAATTACATCGCTTGAGCGACTAACGGTCATGACTCGCTCAAGCAAAAAGTGTACTCGCTCGAGCGACGAAAGCTTCAAACAAAGGGGACTAACGGTCATGTCTCGCTCAAGCGAAAAGTGTACTCGCTCGAGCGACGAAAGCTTCAAACAAAGGGGACTAAGGGTCATGTCTCGCTCAAGCGAAAACTGTACTCGCTCGAGCGACGAAGCTTTCAAAACAAAAGGGGACACTCGGGTTCCATCTCGCTCAAGCGACCGGTGTACTCGCTTGAGCGAGCGAAGGAAGAAGAAAGGACTAGGTGGGAATTTTTGCAAAAGATCAAGGGTATAATCGAGATAAAGTCAAACAAGTATATTACCCCCTCTTTGTTTACTAGGAAAACGACTCAATAAACGTTAGAATTTGAGGATAGTGCCTTCATCAAAGTTATAGATTATTATGTTATCTTTCCAACACAATTGGAATCATCTTAAAATGAGGTCTAGAACTCAAGATATGGACAAAACACTGAACCCTATGAAATAAATTATTAATAAAAATTGTCTTGCTTAAAACAACTATTAATTGTAATTAAAATTTTGAATATATGAAGGAGATGTTTTTAAGTATTTAATTGATGATAGATTGTTTCATACGAGACATAAACATAGTGCATGAAATGTTTTACTGGAAGTCACGGAAAAGTTTTTACGAAAAAGTATTTGGAAATTTCTCTTAAGTTGCTACCAAGGACGGTTGGTAGGAATAATGATGTGTAAAACAGAATTTTTACATTTTCTCGTGAGTCAATTTACTATCAAGAGCATCCGGTAGTGAAATATGACTATGAAAATGGCTGGCCAAATGAGACAGAGAATGAATTATTAAAAATTGAGCTACCGGAATCTCTCGATAGTAAATGGGGGAGTAGAATAGGTAAGACAGGATCTCCGGTCTATGGGGATGGACCTCCGGTCTAGGGAGTGTTTGGGCATGGGCAATTCCATAAGTGGCCGGTCTTTATTTGATTCCGTGCCGTGGTAGCCTGCCGGGTGCACCGACACTCGACTACTGTCTACTTGTTCGCGTTTAGTGGGACATTGCCGAATCACCGGACAGGGTGATGTTAAGCTCTGGTTTCACTAGACACTCAAATGAGTCTCCATGGAGCACCGAGTCAAAAATAATTTTTTATTTTGAGTCAAAAGCATGATTTTAAAGTTTTACGTTTGGAGTCACATGTGCATATCATAAACATATTGCATGATAAAATTGTAAATTATTCATGATTTGTACGATATTCTCTATTATGATTCCATGATTTATTTATTTGTTTCTCATAATTAATTTTTAAATTAAATTATATACGGTTGTATATTTATTAGAAGGAATTTTTCATTGGTTGATTTTATCGTATGGATGTTTGCTTTATTTGTTGTGGATAAAATTAAATGTCTAACCCCATAAATATTTCAATCCCGGATGTTGGTGACGTATGATGCAGGAATACATAGTCCAAGAGATAGATGTCGGATGCAAAAATCCAGAGCTTAGGTCAGGAATTGTATAACATATAAGTATAACTTCATGACTTGTAATATTTTGAAAACTTTGTACTAGAACTTGTTGCTTGATTTAATATAAAACCTTACCTAAATTAATTGTTCACTTAGTATATTTTCTATTAACCTTCTATGAATATTGAAAATATTACTAACTTAGATAATAAATTAGAATTAATAAATGTAATCTGTAAAGGGGGTTACACAACCTCTTCTACATTGTTGGCAAATCTGATTTTGTCTTGAGACACATCATTAATCTTGACGAACCAATCTCTCCCCCCAGTCATATGGTGGAACACCCCGAATCAAGGTACCAAGAAGAGGTTTCTTCTTAATTTATATCACTAGTTTTTGCCATCAACATCACCACATCAAAATATGAAGAAACTTCATCTTGAGTTAAATTAGCTTGGTTCTTTGGCTTGTTCTTGACACTTTCACCATCCCAGCATTCACACATAAAGTGACCATACTTTTGGTAATTGTAACACTTCACCTTTTTTTTTGTCAAACTTCCATTATTTATCATCATTAGAGATATTTTCTCACTTGTTTTTTCTTTTTGAATGTTTTCTTTCCTTTTGAGGTGTTGTCTTTTCCCCTTTGGACTGTTCTAACTTGAAGAGTCTGCTCTTGATTATGCCTTTTCTCATTAATCCTAAACTCATGTGTTTCAAGAGAATGCTGCAAAGCTTCTACCTCCATCTCCTCCATCTCCTCTAAGTCTTTTGTTTCTTCAATTGTTACTACAACATGATCAAACCTCTATGACAATGTTCTCATAATCTTATCAACAATACATGTTCTTGAACTTTATCAAAGTAATCAACAATGGTTTCATTCCATGATGAGAAACTCAAATTGCCTCCTCAAGGTCTGCATTTTGATCTTTTTGTTCTTGTCTCCATCTTCATAAGTGTTTAGCAAAATCTTCCAACACTTTTTTGTTGTTACAGCTTTGAAAATTTTGTTGAAGATCTTCGGTCAAACACATTGGTAAATGAGAAATCTGGCCTTCCTATCTAACTTTTGAAGATTCTTGAAGTGCTTCTTAACTTATTTTATAGCCTTGTCTCCATGGTCTTCAAACTCACTCATGATCACATCTGCTACATCTTGAAATCCAAAGACAACTAACATCTTTATCTTCCAAAAATCAAAACATTTTCCATCAAATATCGATTGTGCACCTTGAATGGTACTCTCCTTCCCATTCCTAGTCATCGTGAATCTGTAAATCCAAGAGCTTTACTAATCTTGATACCTTCAACTTTTTTTCGGTATTTTCAAGATTGTTCACCACTAAGCATAATGGTCATGCACTTCATACCCCGAAACTCACCAAAATACTGACAACAAAAATCAGAAAGTCTCACTTCACTCACAACACAAATCTTACACTTATTCCATGTTAATTTCAATGTAACAGTACATTGGTTTATCACTCACAAACAAGAAAATAAAGAATAAAGAAAAACAACTCAAAGACACCAGTAATATTAATTTGTGTAATATCTCAACAACTATATATTTTATGAACAAGTATGCACATGTATATGAAAAATTAAAAAAAAAAATTAACTAACTTTTTGACTTGACTATTTAATAACATCATGAATATAAAATTAATTTAATGGTAAAAATAAAAGAACGAGGATATGTTACTTTAGGAAATTTATAATAAGTTAGACTCCTTTTAACAATAAGTACGTGATGTGCGTTTGAGTTCTTTGATTAAAAAACTAATATATTAATAGTTAATATTTATTGATAATAATTTTAATTTATTATGTGATTTAATTGAAATTACGTTTTTGAATGAGAAAGAAAATAAAAATTATGTTTAAAAAAAAAAGGAAAGAAAAATCATAATTTGATAGAGAGTAATTCAAAAAATAAGGGAAAATATGGTTGAAAAATCAAGCGTGATTTAATAAAATTTAAGAGACATGAATAGGAAGAAAAATTACAAATGATTTTAAATGACTGAGAAAGAATTAAGATTCATGTTTGACAAAATTGGTTATCTTAATTAAAAACTAATAATTATCAGGTAAAATTATTAAGCTAGTTTATTAAATTATAAGGGTTTAATAAAACTATTTAATAAATTAAAGAATAAATATAAAGTTATACTACTAAAATATTAATTATTTTCTACAAACTTTTTTATAATTTTTTTTAATTTGTAAAAAAATTATTTTTTACAATTTTTATAAAAAATTTACAAAAATATTCTCATTGTATGAGAATTCTAATAGTGGCAATTGAAATTATTAAATTAATTTATTAAATTACAAATCTTTAATGAAATTATTTATTGAATTAACTAATAGATATAAATAACAGATATACGAACATATTAATATGATGTTTTTATATATTTTTTAATTTATTTCACTGAGAAAAATAAAAGTTGAATCAATTGTAGCTTAGTTTTCAATTAACTTTAAATTCTTGCAATTCCTACTTGTATATTTTAATTATTCTAACTATATTTTTAGTTTCAATAATTATTTTTTTATATATATATTTTGATATTAGTTTTATATTATGAATTAAATATTTATAACCAAGTGTTTAAATAAAATAAATTAGAACCCTACTTGTCTAAAGAAAATATAATAAGAAAAATTCATAAATATTTTAAAGATAAAAAAGAAATAAAATATAAAAACTACATGCAGTTAGAGTATTTTAAAAGACACTGTTTAAATAAAATACTACAAACTATTTAAAAACCTTATTTTTGTGGAATACTATTGATAATATCGAATTAGGTGTTTGGTTAGTTAAAAATTTAAAAGCCATGTGAAAGTGTTTGTCAAAGCCTAAAAAGTAAATACAAAAAAATTTGAAAATCTAAGTGTGTTGAAGAAATAAGTGTAGTCTCTGCAATTTATTGCATATTTTATTCTAGTAAATATCTACCTCCTTTTAAAGTGCATCTCTTAAATCATGCGTGTTACCAAAAGATTCAGCAATAAAAGCTCTCACTTACTTAGTGCTTTGTTCTACTTTTTCACAAAAGTTTATTTTTATTCTTTTTAACATGGATTCATCGTTCAATTCTATGTAGTGCATCTTCACCACAGCGTGAAGAACAACTAAAAAAGAAACCATGCCAAACCAACACAGTTAGGTTTAGAAGTGAGAAAAGAGAACATGTTTAAGCTTTATTTAGAATGGAAAACTTAAAAGAGGAAATAATTTCGAGAAAGGGGAACAGAGGGGGTTGCAGAGCTGGTGAGACCCTCGCCATCTGCTGTAACATCGTACTTTTCTGGATCCACAGTGATATGTGGAAGAGAGTCATTGAATTTCATGTCTAGTTTGGTGAGTTTTCTCACGTTGCCTACTGCTTCCATCCTCTTGTTCAGTCCGTATTGAACATTTACTCTCCGGTCTAATGCTGCCTGTCTGTGAAACAATAACAAAATAATAGACTTTTTTCATAAATAATACTATTTTTTAAAATATTTTCCAAAATAGCACTTCTGTAACTTTATTTATATAACTAGCACTGTTTACTGTTCACGTATTAAAATAATATATATAACTAGCACTGTTTACTGTTCACGTATTAAAATAATATTATTTTATGCAATGAACTCTCGCTCAAGCGAAGAAACCCTTCGCTTGAGCGAGGAAATCCGTAAGAAAGGGTTACTTCCGATCAACTCTCGCTCAAGCGATAGATATTTCGCTTGAGCAATAAGTAATTAAAATATGTGGTGACCCAAGTTGCGTTATGTGGCTAACTGCGTTGGACGTTTAGCCAAATAATGCAACTTGGGTCACCACATATTTCAATCACTTTTCGCTCAAGCGAAATATCCGTCGCTTGAGCGAGAGTTGACCCGAGACTTTAGATAGCGGTTCTAGAACTAACCGCAATTAAAAATATATTTTAGATAGCGGTTAACGTGGAACCACTATTATATGTTCACTTCTAAGAGCGGTTAAAATATTAACCGCTCTTAAAAGTGAGACATATAGTTGGACCGTGGGCAACTCTCGCTCAAGCGAGACACTCATCGCTTGAGCGAATAAATTTATAATCGATTATAACGTGAAATAATCGATCATAGTTTTAAAAATAATCGACATATAATAGCGGTTCCACGTTAACCGCTATGTAAAATATACTTTTATTAGCGGTTAGTTCTAGAACCGCTATCTAAAGTCTCGGGTCAATTATCGCTCAAGCGACGGGTATTTTCGCTTGAGCGAAAAGTGATTGAAATATGTGGTGACCCAGGTTGCATTATGTGGCTAACTGCATTGGACGTTTAGCTATGGTCAATTATCGCTCAAGCGAGAAGCCCATCGCTTGAGCGAGGAAACCTGCAGGTGACCCAGGTTGCATTATATGATGTTGCTGAAAGGGGAGTTTGTTCTGTTTATGAAATTATCTTGTTTCTGTATTGTTTTACCTGGAGCTGACTGTAATTGATTCATTGAAGGTGAATATGTGGATGATAGCATGTAAAGAGAATTTAAAATTTCTTGACTGATGGTTGGTTGGTTACTTAGGGTTAAAGTGCTTGAGGTTGTGGGGCTGTCAAGCATCAATTCTGTGGAGTGGTCTCATTACGAGAGTTTTCATTCATTCTTGTTATATTGAGTTGTATGACTGATATGTGCATCAATAGTTAGCAAAAAGTTCCTTAAATAACCTTTGATTTCATCAAACTCAAAAGATCTTTGTTTTATCAAATGATTCAATAAGATCTTCATCACTTTCAATTAATTGAAAAACTCCTAAGTTTCATACATTGAGACATTTCTTAACTAACACAATCTAATGATGCGAAGTAGATGCACATGCATCATTAGGACATGTTCTTCTGCTATGACCAGGGGTATGACAATATGAACATTTTTTAATCATACTTTGATGTTCTGTAATGTCCATCTCAGTTCTTATACGACTTGATTTTGGTCGGCCTTTTGAAGTTCTTTTCATTTCTGGATTTGCACACAAAGTAGGTCCTGTGTATGTTGGCCAATATTCTTCATTTCGCAATAACCCAAATTGTGTTTCGTATACCTTTGAAACTTGTTGTAAGGTATACACTGAATTAATATAGTTGTTGAAGTCATAAAAATATTATCTGAATTATATCATATATATATATATATATATATATATATATTTAAATATACTTTCTATAAGTTATAAAAAAATATTATTGAATATTATTGATTTTGTCTGCTCCATATTCACCTTCAATGAATCAATTACGATCAGCTCCAGGTAAAACAATACAGAAACAAGATAATTTCATAAACAGAACAAACTCCCCTTTCAACAACATCATATAATGCAACCTGGGTCACCTGCAGGTTTCCTCGCTCAAGCGATGGGCTTCTCGCTTGAGCGATAATTGACCATAGCTAAACGTCCAATGCAGTTAGCCACATAATGCAACCTGGGTCACCACATATTTCAATCACTTTTCGCTCAAGCGAAAATACCCGTCGCTTGAGCGATAATTGACCCGAGACTTTAGATAGCGGTTCTAGAACTAACCGCTATTAAAAGTATATTTTACATAGCGGTTAACGTGGAACCGCTATTATATGTCGATTATTTTTAAAACTATGATCGATTATTTCACGTTATAATCGATTATATATTTATTCGCTCAAGCGATGAGTGTCTCGCTTGAGCGAGAGTTGCCCACGGTCCAACTATATGTCTCACTTTTAAGAGCGATTAATATTTTAACCGCTCTTAGAAGTGAACATATAATAGTGGTTCCACGTTAACCGCTATCTAAAATATATTTTTAATTGCGGTTAGTTCTAGAACCGCTATCTAAAGTCTCGGGTCAACTCTCGCTCAAGCGACGGATATTTCGCTTGAGCGAAAAGTGATTGAAATATGTGGTGACCCAAGTTGCATTATTTGGCTAAACGTCCAACGCAGTTAGCCACATAACGCAACTTGGGTCACCACATATTTTAATCACTTATCGCTCAAGCGAAATATCCATCGCTTGAGCGAGAGTTGACCGGAGGTAACCCTTTCTTACGGTTTTCCTCGCTCAAGCGAAGGGTTTCTTCACTTGAGCGAGAGTTCATTGCGCAAAATAATATTATTTTAATACGTGAACAGTAAAAAGTTGCACGAAATAATATTATTTTAATTCGTGAACAGTAAACAGTGCTAGTTGTGTAAATAAAGTTGCAGAGGTGCTATTTTGGAAAATATTTTAAAAAACAGTATTATTTATGAAAAAAAGTCCAAAATAATAATCTGAGTTTGTAAGTTTAGTAGAAAAAATTGTTTGTATGAAAGAGCGAGAGAAAAGGGTTTCATGCCTTGCTCACAAAAGCTATGGATAAAGCCCCACCAGCCTTGCCAAGTGTTCCAAACATTGGCCTCATCTTCACCTATAAGATCGTGTTTATTAAGTTTAGTTCAAGCAGTTTCATCAAAATATGTCAATTACCCAACAATTTATGTGCCCTTAAGAGAACTAAGAAGACTTGCATTATATTACTGGGTCTTCAGAGGGGTATTCAGGGTTGAAACATCTTAAACCCAAAACTCATTAACATTGGGTTACAGGTTTTACTTTCTTATATCTTGTTTAATTTTCTAATTCTGACTCAACGTGAAACTTAGATTTATACATGAATTACCCAACGTATATAAACAATTCAATTCTTTAAAATTCTAATAAGGAAATACGTAACAACATTGAAGCTTTTTAAGCACTCTAATGCCCCACAAAACTAAACTAGAGGCACTCTACTTAAAACTCAAGGCACTATACTTAAAACTCAAACCAACCTAGTCAGAAAGGAAAAACTTTACCGGTTCAGGAGTGGGGATGCTTGCATTTGGGTCACCAACATCAGCCCATGCAACCATACCACCTTTGATCACCATTTCTGGTTTTACACCAAAAAAAGATGGCTTCCACATCACAAGATCAGCCAACTTTCCCACCTGAAAAGTTAGGCACATGAATGCAGCATTCTGGACAATGCTAAAATTATAAGTTTCGGTGTCAGATTTATAGCTGTCCTCTGATACGTGAAGTTTGAAGCCTTTTTGAGAGATAAGAAGTGAAAACTTTCTGCAGAGTGATTCAATTTTCTCTAGCTCAACTATCCACACACAAACAAAGTTCAATAAGTAATGTTTGAAATAATTTGCAGCCACATAGCAGCTAAGCAAAACTATTCACTATTTTTACTGATTAGCACTACTCTTAAATTATAATATCCAAAACATAACATGTTTCTGCAGTTTCTGACAAGAGGCCAACATTGGCCAGCCACCTTGCTTTTCACGGGAAACATCCCTAGTACTTTCAGAACTTTCTGTGTTTTCCCTCATTTTTTGATGGAGAATATGAGAATAACATAGGCTATGGCAAAGGGTATATATATATATATATATAAAACAATAAGAGATGGAAACCTTACTTTTATCAGTTAAATGACAAACATGTTGTGTTTAACGAGTTATTTACTCAAAAGTCAATCTTGGGTATTTCATTTCCTTCCCAAGAAAAACTTATGCATAAATTGAACATGCATTAAAATTTTAAACATTTACCTCAACCGGACCAACATGTTGTGAGAAACCATTTGCTATAGCAGGATTTATAGTATATTTTGCAATATATCGTTTGATCCGAAAGTTGTCATTGTCTGATTCATCAGGCTGGAGTGGTCCTCTTTGTTGTATCTTCATCTTATTGGCAGTTTGCCAAGTTCTGCTTATCACCTAAGGAAGAAATAATGCAACTTATCAAAGACTGAGGATTCACAAAGGGCAAAAACTATTTTTCCCCCCCATAATTGCTACTACTATAGTATGAGAAAAATAAGTGAGGATATAGGAAAAGGCAACAAAGTAAAGAAAACACAGTTGCAGATCTTAAAACAAAACTATTGTGAGAAATGCCACATGCACACCACCCCATTTCATTTCAATACTTCATTAGACAAATGTATATTAAACACCCTTTTAACATTTTAAACTAAAATAAAGGTGAGTTAGGAAAAAATCCTATGTAGATGGCTGAGCTTGAATAAAGTAAGAACCTCTCCAACTCGACCCATTGCCTGTGAATCAGAAGATATAATACTAATTGCTCCAATATCATGCAAAATATCTTCAGCAGCAATTGTTTTTTCTCTTATCCTTGAGCATGCAAAAGCTAAGTCTTCTAGAATATCCCTATTCAAATGATGGCAGACCATCTGCATGTAACAGAGTGTATATTGAGAACCACATGTCTACAAAATGCACGTAATTACTACCAGATTTATATCTTACCAACATATCAAGATGCTCATCTATAGTATTAACTGTTAAAGGGCGTGTTGGATTGGTTGATGAGGGCAGAACATTCTTCGTACCACATACTTTGATGATATTTGGAGCGTGGCCACCACCTGCTCCTTCACTACTCAAATAAACATCATAGTAACATAAAGAATCGGCCAAGTACAACTTAGTCCAGAAAACAAAATCCTCACTATTTTCCATTTGAATTTGTGATGGCAAGATGTGAATATGTAATATAAAAGAAATTGATATTAAAAGAGCAAGGGAAGAGAACAATATAAAATAGCATATGGAATTTGTAGAAGTGATAAGATTTATTCTAGGAAAGACATATAGGTTTACGTATCACCTATTTACACAACAGATAACATCATATTCAATAGAAGTGCTAAAGATTGCCCTTAACAAAAAACAGATTTAATTTTGCATGTCTCGTCTGAGTCTTATATAAAGGAAACAATTTTGAAGTTAGCTTATACCTGTGGTAAGTATGAATAGTTCTTCCTTTAAATGCGGCAATACTATGTTCAACAAATCCAGCTTCATTTAAGGTGTCGGTATGTATGTTGATCTGTTATCAGAAAAATTAGCAGCAGAAATTGATTAAAATTACAAAACAAAAATAAAATTGTAACAAAGAAAGTTGTGCCTGTATATCATATTCAGCGATAGTCAAGCAGTTATCTAAAATTACAAAACAAAAATAAAATTGTAACAAAGAAAGTTGTGCCTGTATATCATATTGTTCAGCAATAGTCAAGCAGTTATCTATTGCAGCAGGTGTACATCCCCAGTCCTCATGCAGCTTCAGCCCCATTGCTCCAGCCTTGATTATTTCATGTAGTTCATCAGGCTTGGAACTGCCCTATTGGTCCATCACAAAAAATTGAGCAAGAAATAAGAAAAATAACTCGGCAAACTGCTAACAAAAGCATGACTTGTTAACAGAAGAGAGAAAAGAAAACACACTTTGCCAGTAAAACCAAAGTTTAGAGGCAGGTCATCAGTTGATTGCAGCATTAGTTTCATCAGAGATGGTGCCGGTGTACAAGTTGTGGCACGTGATCCAGCAGTTGGACCTGTTCCACCTCCCACTAATGTTGTGATGCCTATATACAAGGCACAAAAAGGCTCAAACTCCATCAAATTTATCTACTTAGATTGTTCTTTACCCGGTGGAAAAGGAGATGAAGGGATAAATTTAAGCAAGAATTTTCTCTCACTTCAACCTGCACTGAATACTATTGTTCTCCTTCGTATGGAATTTTATTAGCCTTACATTGTGCTATCAGAAACCCAACGCTATCAATTGTTTTTCAAATTATCTACGTCAATCTAAATATGATGGATAAACTGTTTATTTCTTGTTATAAAACAAATATCTATATGGTTCACCAAGTTTCCATATACAATGTTGAAGAACAACAAAAACCTGAAATACTATTTTATAAAATGCCCTTGGGCACAAACACAAAGACAATACAACTGATGTCTGCTTTAATTTACCATATAGTCACCCAAGAATGGAAAGAGATCCTTCCCTAAATATATCCTTCTAATTAAACAGGGAGGAAAAGAAAGTACAATTTATCAACTGTTTAGTCTTTTTGAATAAACAAGATATCAAGGGTCTTTTATGGTCTAATGTAATCAAATAATAAAAAAACCAGAGTCTTCTCTGATATAGCAAAAACACAACAAATGATCAAGCATCTGCAGAATTTGTCATCAGCATAGCAGTCAATCATCCACCATACGTACTAGAATTTGTTAATATAAAAAGGTACCTGCTGTAATGAACTCTTTCAGTATAAATTGCTTCTAGCTGTAAAACTCACCACTCGATATGGCCTCATATACTAATTGAGGGCATATATAATGCACATGACAATCTATAGCCCCAGCTGTTACTATCAACCATTCTCCAGCTATAACTTCAGTGTTAGCCTTGACATGGATGACATACAAATAACTTGTGTCAAGATAGTGGTGTATGAATTCAGTTCGCTGATTTGGATCATTGGAAGGGAACTTACCCCAATAATCATATTCAAATATACATCATCCATGATGTCTGGATTCCCTGCTTTACCAATTGAGACAATAAGGCCATCTTTAATGCCTATATCTGCTTTGATTATTCCACTATAATCGATTATCACAACATTTGCTATAACGGTATCCAAGGAGATTGCAGGTGGATGCCCACATGATTGACCCATTCCATCTCTTATAACTTTTCCACCTCCAAAAATGCATTCATCACCATAACGAGCAAAATCTTTCTCAATTTCAGCAAGCAAATTGGTGTCTCCAAGACGGATTTTGTCACCAGTAGTTGGACCATACTTGTTAGCATATTCCTCACGAGAAATGAATGTGGTGAAAGGAGAGTTAGAGTCTACCTCAGTAATACCTTCACTGAGAAATTTACAATTGAGGTAAGAAATCTTCATTTATTCTCAAATGTGGAATTGTTACAGATACAAGCCAAGGTATATAACGATGAATGACTTCACTAATAAATGATAAACCTTGCATCTTCCTCGTCCTTATGTCCAAACCCCCTTTTGCACACAGCCTCCATTGCTTCCTTAAGATTGGTTTCACTAACTGGACCATCAGCAATGCCATTACCTCCTCTGATGACTTTGTTACCTCCAATGCTTACAAGCTTAACGACTTTACTCTCCCCTGGCTTTTTAAAAGTAAACGTGTTTGTGGATAATTATTTAGAATCTAGTAAATGAAAAAGTTCAAGTGTTCAAATTAATGCTCCGAACAACAAACAACGTAGAATTGCACCTCGAAGCGAACAGAATTCCCTGCAGCTATATTGAGGCGCATGCCATATGATTTTCTTCGATCAAAAGTCATATATGGATTTACTTCAATAAAATGATAGTGGCTGCCAACCTGAAATTTTCATAAGTATTTGGCAATCGCTTTGGATATTTGAACTCCTACTCTCTATTATTATAACAACACATGATGAAAGAAAATGATTGTCTTATTTGCAACACATGAACTTAAAGGCAAACCACATGCACATAGATTGAATTATGTTGGAGAAATGAGAAATGAGAAAGTTAAGAGAGACCTACAATATATTTCTTTTAGACCCACAAATATATTACTTCACTTTAATATTTTGGGTGAAGGTGGTGTTAAGTTGTCTTCTATGTGTGGCTTGTATCCCATTGGTGAATTTCTTCAAGTAGCTCGATGAGTTAAGAATTACAGCTTATCACACTACAAATCTTGGGCACTTTTAATAAGGCATAAATCAGTTTTACATTCTAAGGTATAACAAAGAAAAATAAAAATTTTGTTTGAAATGATAAGGTTTAGTGTTTTCACAGTGGAAAAAATATTGTTGAAATTTAAGGCAAACACCTGAATTGTTCTGTCTCCCTTGTTGACAACTTTGAGATTCACTGCTTTCCTTCCAAGGTTAAGAGCTAGATATCCGTCTCTACATAATATTTCACCTGGAACTCTGTTATCTTCTTTGATCTCAGCAAATTTGTCGAGTGAAGGTACTGCAAACATATTTTTTGAGTGATGTAGTTGCAGTGGCTAGTTAATGTGGTTATATTTTCAAGTAACAACAATCAATAAGCTATTTTAGCCTTAAAATACTTCATAGGATTTTAACCTCTAGTAATTCAATATCATTATCAATATCAGAAAACAAGAGATTCCTAAAAACAAGGGAAATGTTGATTATAAATCAAAACAGAAAAATAGTAACAAGAATATTCATGATAGTGGGTAAAAGATAAATAAAAGACAGATTGGAAAGTCATGTGTTATTCAAATGGTCAAGCAAAGCTGCAAAGATGCACGCATGACATGATCTCATCTGGGCACATTCATCAGATAACGAGAGATATATACCAACTAACAAAGTATCAATTTTCAAGATCAAAATAGAAGCAAACCTGGAAGAAAAGAACCACATAGTGCTTTTTCTAGATCTCCATTTTCACAAGCAATTGGACCATGAACTATGACTAATTTAGTCCCATCAGGAAAGGTAGCTTCAACCTATATTAAAATTCAAATATAAACAAAATTTGAAAATTACTGTCAGTGATAGGGATGAGAGGAGAGTATTAAGATAAATTATGGCAAAAAAGGAGATTCACAAATACATTTGAAGCTTTCAGATGCACAGTACATAGAAAGATTTAATATGGATGAAATGTATTAACTCTTTTGCTAAAATTAAAATATATGGTTTGGATTATTGCAACAAAAATAGAGTTTGCCATTGACAAGCTAACTGAACAGTGTTTTTATTGGCAGAAATAGAAGCACCAGTTGTTGACAAACAAGTATCTAAATAAAGCATTCCGTATTTATCACTTGATGTGTTTTTGCAATGAGTGGTACATGGTCAATTTATAAGCCTTTGGATATGGCCTCTCAACTACATACATTTAATACAACTATTACTTTTCAACTGCATACATTCAATACAACTACTACCTTTCAACTACTACCTCTATAACCACTACCTCTCAACTACATGCATTTAATGTTTACCTAACAAAATCCCTCCATAAACTTAAATGCTTTTCTTGTCCTTCATTCCAAGCATCTTCTTGCTGTTCTCGAACAGAGTGATTGACAGTGGCTTCGTGAACATATCTGCAGCTTGTGCTCGGGTTTCGACGTGCTCTAACTCCACATTTTCTTCTTTCACTTGTTCTCGGATGAAGTGAAACCGAACATCAATATGCTTGCTTCTCTCATGATTGACCGGGTTCTTTGCCAATTCAATGACCGACTTGTTATCAACTCGAATCACAGTCCCTTTTTCTTGCTTCAACTCTAGCTTGCTTAGAAGGTTTCTAAGCCAAACTGCATGACAGACACTCCAGGATGCTGCAACGTACTCGGCTTCACAAGTTGACAATGTTACAATGGGCTGTTCTTTTGAAAGCCAGGTGAATGCTGTGTTTCCCATGAAGAATACATATCCAGACGTGCTTTTCCGGTCATCAACATCTCCACACCAGTCACTATCAGAGTAGCCTACTAGTCAATAATCATCCGTCCTAGTATACATTAGGCCAAGTGACATTGTTCCTCTCACATACCTTAGAATTCTCTTTAGTGCCTTCCAATGAGTATACCTTGGCTCCTCCATATATCGACTTGCTATTCCAACACTTAGCATTGAATCTGGTCTGGTATTTGTAAGATACCTAAGACTTCCAATCAGACTTCGGTATTTGCTTGCATCAACTCGGTCTCCATCTGCATACTTAGAAAGTTTTGTACCAGGTTCCATAGGGGTGGAAACCGGGTTGCAGCTTGTCATCTTAAACTTCTTCAAGACCTCCTCAGCATACCTTTCCTGCGACACAAAGATGCCATCCTTTCCCTGAACAACTTCTAAGCCAAGAAAATACTTCATAAGACCCAAGTCAGTCATCTAAAACTCCTTCTTCATCACTTCTTTAAACTCTTCAATTAGCTCGGCATTATTCCCCATGAAGATAAGGTCATCAACATATAGGGCAACAAACATCACATCTTCTCCTTTCTTCTTTATGTGTAGAGCATGTTCATAAGGACACTGCTCATATCCATTCCTTTTGAAGTAAGTGTCAATTCTTTCATTCCATGCTCGTGGAGCTTGTTTCAAGCCATAAAGTGCCTTCTTCAATCTCAGCACTTTCTTCTCTTCGCGTCTTCGCATGTATCCGAGTGGCTGTTCAACATATACTTCCTCCTCCAAGATTCCATTCAGAAATGCCGACTTCACGTCCATCTGCAAGATTGTCCATCTGTGTTGAGCTACTAAGGAAATCAGCAGCCTAATTGTTTCCATTCTCATCACTGGGGCGAATACTTCGTCATAGTCTATTCCTTCCTTCTGCTTGTACCCCTTCTCTACGAGTCGAGCTTTATATCACTCAACTTCTCCTTCAGCATTTGTCTTCTTCTTGTACACCCACTTTACGCCGATAGGCCGCGCTCCTTTGGGCAAATAAGTCAGCTCCCATGTGTTGTTGCGTTCTATTGCCCCGATCTCCTTGTCCATTGCATTTTTCCACCTTTTCTCCTGAACGGCCTCTTTAAAACTTAAATCTTCTGAATCTGCCAAGAGACATACAACATGCACTTCGTCAGTGAAGTTGTATATATCTTGTAAACTTCGCGCTCTGGGCTGTAGAGGTTCATCTTCTTCATCAGAAGTCTCGTGATCTCTCACAGTATGTGGTGTATCAACTTTCGAGCTTCTACTTATGGACTCCTTCTTCGAGTTGTTCCAACTCCACTCGCTTTCTTCATCAATTTGAACATCTCAGCTCATGATGACCTTCTTAGTTATTGGGTTAAACAACCTGTACGCCTTGGTTTTTTCATCATACCCAATAAACACGTACTTTTTGCTTCTATCTTCGAGCTTGGTCCTCTGTTGAGCTGGAACATGACCATAAGCTATGCTACCGAACACTTTAAGGTGAGACACACTCGGTTTTCTTCCACTCGGACTTCTTGCGGTGTCTTCTCATTCGGCTTAGCATGTGGACATCTATTTTGCACATAGATGGCACATTGCACCGCTACGCCTAGAACTCCTTTGGCACGTTTTTGCTTCTCAACATTGTTCGAACCATGTCAAGAATGGTTCGATTCTTCCTCTCGGCAACTCCGTTTTGTTGGGGTGAGTATGGTGCTGTTAGAAATCTCCTTATCCCTTGCTCCTCACAATACTTCATGAGTTTGGATGAAATGAACTCGCCTCCTCGATCGGACCTAACAGATTTGATAGGCATGCCAGTCTCTTTCTCAACCATTGCTTTAAATCTCTTGAACACCTCAAACACCTCGGATTTCTCCTTCAAAAAATATACCCAGGTTTTTCTTGAAAAATCATCTATAAAAGAAATGAAATACCTTTTCCCACTGAAGGACTCAGGGGTAACCGGTCCACAAAGATCTGTGTGAATCAATCCGAGTTGTTCCTTTGCACGGTACTCGGTCGTCCTCGGAAATGAGGTCCTCAGATGCTTCCCGAGCACACACTCTTCACAAAATTTCTTTTCAAATTCCATAGACGGGAGTCCTCGCACCATCTCTTTGTTTACTAACTTGGTCAGCCCGCCAAAATGCAAGTGGCCAAACCGAAAGTGCCACATCATTACTTCATCCTTCACGTCAAGTTTCAAGCACCTCTCTTGGACTATCTTCAAGTCCAACTTGTACATTCTGTTCTTCTTCATTTCTACTCGGGCAATCAAACGATCCGACTTGTCCTTCAGGCATAGTACTCGGTCTTTCATCAGAACCAAGTAGCCTTTCTCCATCAGCTGACCTATGCTCAATATGTTGCTTTTGAGATCGGGTACATAGTACACGTCTCTGATTTCTCCAACTCGGCTATTCTTCTGTAGGTACCAGATTGTACCTCTACCTTTTATCACCACCTTTGATGCATCTCCAAATGATACGTGTTCGGCCTCAACTTTAGTGAGCTCCTTGAAAAGGTTCTAGTCCCCGCAAATGTGGTTACTTGCTCCTGTATCAAGATACCAAACCGAGTTGTCAGAACAGCTCGGACTTAGCTCGACATCCGAACTTCTCGACATCATCAATACTCCTTCTTCCTCAGTGTCCTCAGAGAGGAGGTTTGTCTCCTTCTTCCTCTCAGATCGGCAGCCCTTCGCGAAATGCCCAACCTTCCCACAATTATAACATTTGATATCTGAATAACAGTTCTTAGAAAAATGACCGTACTCCCACATTTGAAGCACTCAACTCCGGAATTGCTTGACTGACCACCTCGGCTTCTACCGTCACGACCTCTACCTTGTCTTCGGTCACGCCAGTTTTGTTGATTGACTGACTCCTTACCTCTTTCATATTCTCCTCTGCCTCTACCTCCTCGGCTTTGAGTGTTCTGAGCATAAGGAACCTTCTTCTCCTTTAAGGTTGCCTTTGCTTGGAGTGCTTGATCAAGGGACTCCTCTTTCTTCTTCCTTCTCCGCTGCTCATGCGCTTCAAGCGACCCGGCAAGCTCTTCCACCGAGAGCACCGACAAGTCCTTGGACTCTTCTATTGCACAAACGATATTCTCAAAGTCGTCAGTTAACGACCTTAAGATTTTCTCCACCACTCGGCAAGTGGGCAGCGTCTCTCCATTTCTTCCGAGTTGATTCACCACGGTCTCAACACGGGAGATGTACTCGGCAACCCCTTTGACCTCTTTCATCCTCATGCTTTCAAGCTCGCCTCTAAGAGTTTGAAGCCTGACTTGCTTCACGCGATTATCCCCTTTATTTGACTTCTCCAGAATATCCCACGCTTCTTTTGAAGATTTAGCATTTGCTATCTTCTCAAAGCCGGACTCATCAACAACTCGGTACAGTACGTACAAAGCCATTTTGTCCTTTACTCGTGTTGCTCTCAATGCAGCAAGTTGAGCAATCATCTGCTCTTCAATATTCTCTGGTTCTTGGTGCCTATTTTCGACAACATCCCATACTTCTTGGGAACCAAGGAGAGCCTTCATTTGCAGGCTCCAGTTATCATAGTTTACGCCTTTTGATAACTTTGGCAGGGGCATGCTGTTAGCTAAGTTGGTCATCTCAAACAAACTCTCTAACTCTCAAACACTCTCTCTAACGCACTCAGACACTCAGGCTCTCAAGCTCTGATACCAATTTGTTGACAAACAAGTATCTAAATAAAACACTCTGTATATTATCACTTGATGTGTTTTTGCAATGAGTGGTACATGGTCAATTTATAGGCCTTTAGATATGGCCTCTCAACTACATACATTTAATACAACTACTACTTTTTAACTACATACATTCAATACAACTACTACCTCTCAACTACTACCTCTATAACTACTATCTCTCAACTACATGTATTTAATGTTTACCTAACACCAGTAACAAAAAATAATGACTTCATGCTATGCCTACAAATCCCTTTATGAGTGTTTTTATTGGTAGAAATAGCTGCATTGCCATAGTGAGACAAATACCTGAACAGCATTTAAGAGATGTGGAACCTTTGGAAGAACCTGTCTCCTGTTTAAAATGATTCATTCAGCTTTTTCCAGTTAAAAAATACTATGGAACTCATGGAATCCATTCATAAACTTTGATGAAATTGTTATCTAAACCAAGGAGGGGAAAAGAAGGCGGAGCATATATATGACAATGAGATGATGAAAAATGACTTATATAATATGGATATAGGTTTAGAGGACAAAAATATAAAAAAAATATTGAAATTAGTTTCTAATGAACTAATTTGTATAACATCTTTCATATTTTTCTCTAAATTTTTTATTACTTGGACCTAAATTAATTTTAGCTTATTAAAAAACTAGTTTTATTTTGTTTCTTATTATTTTTATCACTTTATGGAGGGAAAAATTCATCAAATAGGTCATATAGGGTATATTGTTGGAAAAATTTGGGTCATGTATATATATGATACATAATTTAAATGTGTTAGGACCATTATTTATTAAGCCAAATAATAAAGTGATCTGACTAAATTAAAGTTTTGGCTAAAAGCATATGTCATGAAAATAAAATTGTGTAGAGACCATAGAGCAATTTCTAATTTGATGAGGGGCCAAATTGGAAATACTAAAACTTAAGTAATTAACCTAATTCTGGTTATCTAAAGGGTCATAATCCCCTTCTGAGAGCACGTAGACAGAATGTAAGTTTCATTCCTGTTCCTTTCTTTCTATCCCCATCAAGAGAGAAAATCAAGAGGGAAATACAGGTGCTCTTCAGGTGGAAGACCATAAGATCAATACAGTGCTCTACAAAGACATCATCATTATGGTTAATTCAGGTACGCTTTTGCATTCAGTTTACAACATGTTTATCAGTATGGGATTATGTTTATGTTTGATCGTTATAATCAAAATCAGGATGATTATTATTATTATTATTATTTTTCCAACAATTGGTATCAGAGCCGCCTATATTTGATTCATGTCTGTTTAATTTATAGAACCCTAATTATGAAAATTAGGATTAATTTTGTTTTAAACAATTCAAATTACTCAATTTTATGAACCCTAAGTGGAGAATAATCTCTAATTTTCGTGAACCCTAAAATTTAAATTTGGGGTAACATCCCCAATCTGATTCTGCTTGCTGATGGAACCGTGGAGGAAGCTATGGATTCTTCTTCTTCTTCGTTTTTCACTTTTGTTTCAGTTTAAGTTTCAAGTTTTACTGAGAAAGAAACAGTGTTTCATATTTCAATTTTTCTTGTATTGAGTTCTCTGTTTTTTTTTTAAATCTTTTGTTTTTATTTAATTTTATGGGTTTGGAATTGGGGATGGTGTTTGTGGAGTTCCCAACACAGAGAATCTTAGGTAAATGATGAATGTTTCCACATGTTTGACTATTATTATTTTATTGCCTCTATCCCCTAGGAATTTAAGGAAAATTTGATGTTAAATTAGGGTCTGAGTGACTACTGTTTAATTCCCTTTTAGGGTTTAGAGCAGTATGCTAAAGAGACTCGGAACTATCTCTCGTTTCATCCCTAGTGTGATTTTAGGAAGATGTTCATCCTTTATGTATTGGTGGAAAATGAGGCCTTTTTTCATCCTTTGATTTGTTCAAATGAGGTGTTCATCCCTAATGAGATTCTAGGGAGGTGTTCATCCTTAGTAGAATTCTGATGAGATTATTCTCTTTTGAATTAGTTTGCAAATATTAAATATTTGGTTTTGTTATATAAATAAAAAATTCAATTTTTGGTAGTTTAATATTTTTTGTGAGCAAATTGAGTCAAGAAGTCACCAAAGTAACTTCTCTTGAATTGGGCAGTTCATAAAAAATATTGAATGTTAGTGTTTGTGTATATTCATGCGAGTATTAGTCGGCCCAAAGGAAGATTAATATTTGGCCGAATTGCATATACACTTGTAATGATAAACATGTGATAATTATAAGGATTTGCTTTGTCGATGATAAATCAATCCAAAGACTGGTTTGTTATTGGACGTGCTTTATTGTTAATGTTTGATTATTACAACAAGATACCTCTAGCAGTTAATATTACTGTCCAAAGACTTGATATTGATGGTGCATTGAGTGTCTTGAGATGGGTTAAACCATTATTTGAATATATATTTTATTTATAATTTTTTATATATATAATGTGAGCATAATTAGTTTATTTCTTTTGTTCTAATCCAGCTACAATTGCTTCTGTATCTGCCAATTTAAATTATGTTCCGATCCTCAAAAGTATGTTTCCTACTTTGGTCTGTTCTGAAGTCAATTTAGCGTCAATACCTAGTAACACTTGGTGGTTAGACTTAGGTGCAACTACTAACATCAGTGTTTCTATAAAGGGTTGCCTAAGCTACCGGAAGCCAATTGATTATGAAAGATGGATTTATGTTGGAGATGAAAAATTGGTAGAGGTGGAAGCTATAAGTCATTTTAAATTATTATTAAGTACTGATTTTTTATTTGGATTTGAAAGACACTTTTGTTATGCCGTCATTTAGACGGAATTTGGTTTCAGTTTCTTATTTGGACAAATTAGGTTATTTATGTTCATTTGGAAACAATAAGTTCAGTTTGTCTTTTAATTCAGATATTGTTGGAACTGGTTCACTTTTGATATATGATAATCAGTATTTACTTGATATTGTGGTCACCTATAATGAAACCCTTAATACAGAATCATGTGGTACTAAACATAAAATTGAAAATACTCACTCAAGTGCATTATGGCACAAGTGCTCAGGTAACATCAAATTGTAACGTTTGGGCTTGTGTTACACTCTTAAAGATATGGTAGAGAGTATGATTTGTCATTCCACCTTACTGGAATCACTTTGGGGAGAGACACTAAATATGACAGCTTATATTCTAAACAGAGTACCAACTAAAGCAGCTACCAAAACATCTTATGAGCTTTGGACTGGGCGACAGCCTAGTCTGAAGCATTTCCATGTGTGGGGTTGTCCAGCTGAGGCAAGGCCTTATAAGCCAAATGAAAAGAAATTGGACTCCCGAACAGTAAGTAGTTATTTTATTGGTTATGCTGAAAGATCCAGGGGATATAAATTTTATGATCCCACATTAAAGACAATTTTTTGAGACGGGAACTGCTACGTTCTTTGAGGATATTGAGTTTGGGGGGAAGAATAAGATTAAGAACTTCATCTTGGAGGAAGAATCGGTAACAATTTCAGAACCAATTCAAATAGTTACTTTTGATAAAGTAAGTTCGGAACCTCCACAAGGCATTGTTGATGAACCCCTCACTCAAGATGATTTGGTTGTTCATGAAGAACAAACTCAAGATCCTCAAGAACCTGTGCATCATGAGCTAATAACTTTGCAGAGATCCACTAGAGAAAGAAGAAGTGTTATTTCGGATGATTACATGGTATTTCTTCAGGAACATGAGGAAAATAATGATATAATGGAAGATGATCCAGTTAACTTCCGTCAAGCTATATAAGGTTCTAAATCTCAAAAGTGGATTGAAGCAATAAGATAAGTATAAGTCCATGCAAGACAATAAGGTTATTGGGAACTTGTCCCATTACCAGAAGATATGAAACTCATTTGGCTTCAAGATGAATATTGTTGATGATTGTATGTATCACAAGTTTAAAGGGAGACAAGTTTAGTCTCAATCAGTGCCCAAAGGGAATTTGGAAATTGAGGAAATGCAAAAGATTTCCTATGCATCAGTTGTAGGGAGTTTGATCTATGCCCAAGTATGTACGCATCCAAACATAGCATATATAGTTGGGGTTCTAGGCAGATATTTAAACAATCCAGGAATAGACCATTGAAAAGCAGCAAAAAGGGTCATAAGATATTTAAAGAGAACAAAAGATTATATGCTCACATATAAGAGGTCAGACCAGTTGGAGATCGCTGGGTTTTCTGACTCAGATTTTGCAGGATGTCAAGAATTTGTAGCATGCTATGAGGCATCAAATCATGGAATATGGCTGAGAAATTTTGTCACAGAGCTGCAAATTGTGAAAGGCATTGAAAGACCACTTAAGTTATATTGTGACAATAAATCAGCTGTATTGTTAAGGAAAGAGTACAAAGTGGACAGATTTCCATAGAACACTTAAGGACAAACTCCATGATAGCATATCCTCTAACTAAAGGACTTCCGCCCAAGGTCTTTCATGAGCATGTTGCTCACATGGGTGTTTTACAGTTTGAGGAATTTGTGGTTTAGTGGGAGTTAGTCACTTTCATATATTTTATGTTCTATGTTTAATTTCATATATGTATACATTGATTTTTGGACATATTTGGTTATCTATAGATATGCGGTTTTTTCGTTCATTCATTACACTTTGTACATTAAGGATATTATATCGATCTCGATAAGTTAAAGTTTGGACCAGTTAAAAATAGACGTGTACAGATCACCTTCACGTAATTTTTCATGCTACATATTTCATGATGAATCCATGTCATTTGGTTATGTTAGGATGAGTAATCATTGTTGGTTTTAGTTGCGATGATGCAATGAAAAACTGGTTTGGTTCTATATCCTGATATGATTAATGGACAGGACTTTTGGAGTATGCTAAAGGAATATAATGACAATTTTGAGCTCATAAAGTCTAACACATTTGTAAGGTTGTAAGGACATATATATTTGTGACCAGTGGGAGATTGTTGGAAAAATTTGGGTCATGTATATATATGATACATAATTTAAATGTGTTAGGGCCATTATTTATTAAGCTAAATAATAAAGTGATCTGACTAAATTAAAGTTTTGGCTAAAAGCATATGTCATGAAAATAAAATTGTGTAGAGACCATAAAGCAATTTCTAATTTGATGAGGGGTCAAATTGGAAATACTAAAACTTAAGTAATTAACCTAATTCTGGTTGTCTAAATGGTCATAGTCCCCTTCTGAGAGCACGTAGACAGAACGTAAGTTTCATTCCTGTTCCTTTCTTTCTATCCCCATCAAGAGAGAAAATCAAGAGGGAAATACAGGTGCTCTTCAGGTGGAAGACCATAAGATCAATACAGTGCTCTACAAAGACATCATCATTATGGTTAATTCAGGTACGCTTTCGCATTCAGTTTACAGCATGTTTATCAGTATGGGATTATGTTTATGTTTGATCGTTATAATCAAAATCAGGATTATTATTATTATTATTATTATTGTTTTTCCAACATATATAACATACCTTCCCAATAGCTGTTGCCCAATGCACATTAGTGATGCCACACTCTCTTCACCATCTCGAGCAAATTCCATAATCTATATATAAATGTAAAAGCATGAAACTTCGATAATCTTTGAGCGCCAAAGAAAAATGGAAAAATATATACCTGTGTGGCAATAAGAGCCACAGCTTCAGTATAATTGAGTCTTAAACCACGAGCAAGACGTTTCTGAGCAAGGTAGCCAGCATTATGCAGGACCAGTTTCTCCACCTCCCTTGGACTCAGTTTCATTTTTCAGTTTTCAATTCAAACTCCCTAATCCTAAGGAACAAGCTGAAAACTCTTTTATGGAAATCAAAAAGATAATAGCTAGCTCCTAAATGTTGAGTGATTCTGATTATATATATCATAAAAAATTTCATGAAACAGCAAAGAATCAGAAGAAAGTGTCACCTTGCTGTAGGAGCAGCATGCGGTGCAATAGAAGCTGTAAGGAACACAGGCTGCCACCTCAATAGATAGAGCTGCATGCAAGTGGGACACATATCTTAGAGTGTTCCGTATCGGTCTGATGTGCACTGTGATAATTGTTAAAGATTAATTACTTTTGAGATATTATTTTAGAGTTCTAGTCTGTAGTCATTTTATCTTTAAAAAGCGTCGTAAACAGGTTAGAGCAAAGGGTGTATATAAATTATCTGACTTGATTTTTAAGGAACGTGAGACTGATGACGTACCCCGGAACATAAATCTCCGGACGAAGGTTATGTAGACTTTTCTCTTGATTTTACGATGAACGTTAATATTCCGTATAGAAACAAGAGTATGTTACTTATGTATGATAACATTCTTAGGATAAATAGGTTTCCATGAATTGAGAGCGGTAAATTACACTCTCAACTCGTAACTCGTGAGGTACGGGAAGAAAAAGCATTCTAATGAGACTTGAAGACCGAAACATGTAAAACGATTAAGTACTCAGAGATGTTCTTTTTATGTACATAATAATTCTCCATGACTGTATATAGTTGAATATAGCTGTGGCTCTATGAAAAATAAACTTACTGCTTGCTGAATTAGGGACTAAGCATGGCTATTAAGCTAACTTGTGAAGCATTTTATTAATTATTCATTACATTTTATAATTCATTTTAAATACCATTTTCATGAAAGAATCATAACAATTATCTTACATTACCACTTGAAATCACTGCAGTATGCTTAATTTTGGACTGCATCTAGCCACTTTGTACGTGGACAAAATTTCATGTTATCGTCGTTCTGGGCTGCTTCGACGTGTGTTAAACGTTTGTGGTCACGTCACTCGGTGTATATCTGTCTACTTTCAGTGGAGAGAGCTCAACCGATGTAGAAGTAAAGACGTGATTTTTTTCATTTTTTAAGATTAAATTTTATCAAAATAATATATATATATATATATATATATATATATATATATATATATATATATATAATAAAATATAGTATCTCCGTAAATCTCAATAATTCGGTTACTCTTTTGTCCCCACATTTATAAGAGTGTTTCAATTGTTCCACACTTTTAAGAAAATTAATTAAAAAAATGAATTTAACTGTTTTAAAATTACTCCGATGATATCTGAAATTAAGATGAGTTGTTTTTTTATTTTTATTTTTATGAAAGTGATGAGAAGTTTTGGTCCTAGGAAAGAAAGAAAGTACAAAAGAAAACGGAGAATAAACCAAAATCCATTAACAACATAACATAGTCCTAAAAGTCAAGTATACACTGTCTGGCAAAGTCTGATACCATTCAAACAAAAGCTTATCACTGACGCTAAGTTAGAAAATAAAAATAAAAATAGCATTTATGTAAATGTGTATTACATAGATCTACTCTACATGTTCTTCTTGATTTCCAAATTTTTTAACCACCGACCTCTAATGCTCCAAGACACTAAATTAACATTTGAGAAAGTCAACTCAACAAATTTCGAATCTGTTTCAATCCACGGTCTATTCCAACCTTTGTTATAAGCCGTTTCGATGCAAATCATTGCATCAATGAACTTTGCATAAAGAGCATGTTGAACACCCAAAAATCATAAATTATGAATTCACTTTTTCTGTTACGAAATAATCCCCCACTTGCAGCAATACGAGGAGACCCCCTAGCCACTCCATCAATGATACATTTTACCACATTGGTATTGGGAGGCTTCCACATGACCTGTAATTTTATCTGTAGTAGGCATATGATTAGCAATATTGAAATATTTAAGAATTAGAAAGTCACTCATCTTGTCATTCATAAACCCTTTGGAAGGATTACCAGTAGTAGTCACTTTCATCTTAACTAAGTTTAATGCATGATTAAACGTGAGCGGGGAGGTGAAATGACATTCATTACGCATCTTTCAAATTATCCAAATAAAGTTAATTACTGTTGCAGCAGCAGTATCCTTGATCTTTGAACTGAGTTGTTTGAAATCCAAAGAAAGAATACCCTGATCAATAGATAAGCGGGATAGAAATCTCAATACCTCTTGCATCCAGTTCCAAAATTTCTCAATTTCTCAGCTACTGGCATTTGAAAAACAGGTGATCCTTGGTCTCAAATGCTTGGACACATAAACTCACAAGAACATAAATGTAAACCTTAAGTTGGACAACATCATTCGCATGCATGCTCTTGTGGATTAGCATCCAAAGCACGAATGAAGTACCAGGAGGTATATTCTTATTCCAAATTTCTTTACACCAACTAGTAGTATTTCCTTTGACTCTTATAAATTCATGTATTATCTAGTTGAAAAATCTAAATATGAGTCCAGGTGCAACATTGAATAAAAATGATAAAACTAACATATAAGAAAGAAAATTCATAACTCAATGTCTTAAAATTTTGGGTTAAAGGGAATGTTAATTCCTTGAGTTAGACTCATGTCAACGTAGTCCTTGGTTGGGTTTACTTATTTACTTTGAAAAAAATGCTTTAAATTAATAGAAAATATCAATTAAAAAGAGCTATATTCAATGAAGTCGTAAATTAGTATGTATATAAACTAAGTCTTCTTTTATTTTAAGATTGAACTTATTTCTTTTAAATGAGTGAATGAATGAATAAGTTTTCTAATTTCTTTAATAACAAGATTATACATGAAACTTCAATGCTAACTTTTGAAGGAGAGATGCACCAGAATCATGCATCACCCACCAAGATTTGGGATTCAATGTTCACCTATCTTCTATTGAGTCAAAAGAAGCAAAACTATTTGACTTTGATGAAAAGTTAACATACTCAAGTGTAACATTTCTATCCTCACTAGTTGTAAAAAGTTTTTTCAAACACTTATTCCTTTCTCTATAAACACTACAATAATTTTACATATTAACTATGACACATTCCATAGCTATTTTATAGCTAATCTCTCGCTGGTATGTTTTGCTACAGATTGACTACGGAATAGCATAGAATAGTCTGTAGCTAAATCCAAGTAGCTAATTAGATACAAATGTATTCTTTCTCAAATTTGTAGCAAATTTTGTCGCTAAACTATCGCTAAATCCCTCGCTAATTTAAATGATGAAATTTTGTTTATCCCTAACTAATTTGATCTCTCAAAACTTGTAGCTAATCTCTCGTAATTTCGCTCTTGTTAATCCGTAGCTAATCCATCACAATTTCGCTCTCGCTAATCCGTAGTTAATCCCTCGCAATTTCACTCTCGCTAATTCGTAGCTAATCTCTCGCAATTTTTCTCTCTCTAATCCATAGCTAATCCCTCACAAGTTTACTCTCGCTAAATCGTAGTTAATCCCTCGCAATTTTTCTCTAGCTAATTCGTAGCTAATCCCTCGCAATTTTTCTCTCGCCAATTTGTAGCTAATCCCTGACAATTTATCTCTAGCTAATATGTTGTTAATGCCTCACAATTATTTCCTCGCTAATTCGTAGTTAATCCTTTGCAATGTTTCTCTTGCTATTTCATAGATAATCCCTCACAATTTTTATCAAAATTTATAATATCAAATTTATCAACTTTCAATATAAAAGTATTGTTTAAACATAGTTAAAATGATGTTTCAAACAATTAAAACATAACAAAAATAATATTTCAACTAAAAAGTTTTGTATAACACAATTAAAAATAGAAACAAAGTTTGAAGTACGTTTTCATCATTGTTTCTTTAAGGCGAGATAATAAATCTTTCTTGAAAGATCTGCATTTCTTCATGCATTTGTTGTTGCATGAGTGTTTGCATTTCTGCTTGTGTCTTCATTTGTGCTTGCATCAATGCTTGCATATCAGTTTGTGTTTGAAACTGTGTTTTCATCTGTTCTTGCAAACTAGATATCTGTGTAGCTAAGGTAGTGATTTCTTCAGTGAGAGGTGTGGTAAGATTTTGGGAAGAGGGACCTTCAACTATGAAGATGAAACATGTGAAATACCAAGATTCAAACTCTGACCTATACCATAAATTCTACCTTTTTTATTTTCACCAACAGTCTTTATCCAAATATCAGAATCAACTATAGGATGATTTGATGTATCTTCCCCATATTTTTCAATCATAGCATTTTCATATGATTCCTACATCAAATCAATATTATAGCAATATTATAAATAAACAAAATTTAATATTTATAAAATATACACACTTACAATGAAATTTTTTTCTTTGTTAGACACATATTCACCATCTTTCTTTTTATGAACTTTGCTATATAATTCATTATAAGAAACAGGACGTTTGTTCTCTTCTTCCTGTGAAATAATTTACAATTCAAGATTCAGACATCTTAACTGACAAATTTGCTAAAACAAATTTGTTTTAGCATGCAAATTTCTCAAAATAGCATGATTGAAGTAAATACATCCTTTGAAAATTAAAATCCATGCTTAACAGACAAATTCTAAAGTCTAACAACATAAGTCCCCAATTGTTCAATGATCTGCTTATTAAACATTTTAAATCACCTATTTTTGTTCAATAAAGCAAAGAATTGAAGCTATGTATAACAAATTTCATTTTTAGGCGATAGACAATTAACTATGGATGAAACTTAAACACATATTGAATAAAATCAAACCTCCCAAAACTCAAATCACAGGGTAACATTCAAAATAAAGAAGAGATTACCGTGAGAAAACGTGAGCGACAGCGTGTGCGAAAGCGGCGCAGGACAGTAGCAACAGTGGCGCGGGCAGCAGGAGCAAGAACAATGCTGGAGCGAGAGCAAGAACGACAGGGGAGCAGCACGAGACAACAGCGAAAGTGGCGCGGAAGCGGGCAGCAGGAGCAAGAAC